GGAGTGAGCCAGTAAGAAAACTTACAAACATCTACACTGCTGAGCTTTCTCTCTAGATATACTATTTTTGTAAAAAACAAACAAACAAACTCTGCTTTTTCTTTTGCAAAAGTGATGGGTGAAAGGCAGAGTTATAGAGAGGGAATCTTCTATCCACTGGTTCAGCCCCCGAATGGCCGCACAACCTGGAGCTCCACTCGGGTCTCCCACATGGGTGGCAGAGACCCAAGGACATGCACCATCTTTCACTGCCTTCCCAGGTGCATCAGCTGGATCAGAGGCGGAGTGGCAGGGACGGTACCCGAGGTTCTGATCCGGGCTTCACCATGGCAGCCTCCCCTCCCTCCCTCAGCCTCTGCCTTCCACGGGCATTCCGTTGGAGAAGCATGGGTCTGTCATTCTACAGAATGTCTGCTCAGATGAGATTGACTCCTCATCATCTATTGCAGGTTGTGCATTTTGGCAGGAAGCGCAGGACAGGTGCTGGGCCCTTCCCGGTACAGCCTGTGGGGAGGCCCTGAACACCCTCCTGCCCCGCGTATCAGCATGACTGCAGGACGTGGAGGCTGCAGGCCACTCCCCAGAAGCGCACTGCTCTCCCTTTGTCATTAACTGACTCTACTCTGATACTGTGTCAAGCTCTGCTTCCCATCACGCTATCTCCCTCTAATTTAGCATCCACCTGCAACTCTTGCCTGATTCATTTACTGTCGTTGTTGACTAGTTAGCATCCCACTGCAAAGAAGAATTGTGCCCTTTCCTCATTCTATCTTTTCATTTATTTGTTGGTATCAGCGTGGACTGAACAATTCTAATACTTCCCCATGAGTTATGGGTAATAACCTGTTACCCTCCTTGTCAGTTTTAGAGACCTCAAACGTGCAATTGTAAAGAATCAAGGAACAGCTTGTCATTCCTCAATGTGGATTAAAAAAAAATCACCAAAAAAATATATGAACAAGTGGATTCAAAAAGCGGGTTACAAAAGGGAACTGTTTTGAATGCATACCCCTTATTTAATTCTCATAGACATGCGTTAAACATGATGTGTGCCTTCCTGCATCGGTGAATGGTATTCCTGCATCGGTGAATGGTATTCCTGCTAAGCATATTAACCGGAGGCTGCCAAATGCCTTACTTCTTGGGGCTTGCTAGCGCTCACAGCCTTACTCTCACACACGATGATCCCACCTGGCATATGCACCCCGCCCCCTTCCCCAGCCTCACCGGGGGCTCAGCGTGCAGATATGCACGCCTCCCCCTTTTCTTTTTTGCAGAAAATAGATAGGAAATGAGCACGGCCGAGTGCTGTACTGAATGGCTACAACCCTAATGCTAGGGCCCGGCTTTTGGCAGCCTAATTAATGGCAAATGGCTATGCTTTCTATGAAAAGAGAAGTCAGAATAAGAGGAATGGCGCAGAGGAAGGGAAGCTGCCATGCTAAGAGCTCCCCTTTCTGCGTGGAACTCAATGCTGGCCTTGCTTGGAACTATTAAGCCCTGAACTTAAATAACCAATCAATGTCAGTAGCCGGCAACAGGAGGGCCCTGGATTTCTCGTACAAATTCTATTAATGCAGTCCCTAATAAAGCAGCAGCGAGCAAAGACATCCCACCGATGCGCATGAAAAGGAAGCCACTCAGAGCTAAACTCTGGGTCTCTCGGCCCCCAGCTGCAAGCAGGCGCGGGAAGCAGACGCCAAGCCCAGCTTGGCAAGCCCAGCAAAAGGTGAAGGGGACACTAAGGTCCCAGCCGAGCCGCAGGAAAAAGCAGCCATTGTGGGGACAAGCTTCACACCACTTCCACGAGGAAGCCTGTGTGCTCTGGCCAGGCAGGCAGGGTTGGGCAGGTCAGCAGAAAATCAGGCTCTGCGCTCTGAACCTTGGCCTGGTTCACGTTCCCCAACTTAATGCCTCGTATGAACAACTAGCTTAGCCGTTAGGGTATAACTGGCACATGCAACAAAATAAGCAGGCAAGAAAAAAAAGAAAAAATCCAAGCCTCACTGGAATGACTTCTGTGTTACTTTTATTTATGTCTTTTTAATTCTTGGGTACAGGATAAAACTTAATGAGGGTTTGTGATGAAGTCTCTCCTTCCTTTACTGACCTGCAACATGGCGGGCAGGTGTGTTTATGCAGAACCCCCTGCGTGGACGAAAGCCCAAGGAGAAACACTGCAATTCTGCAGTGAATCAGCAAACAAGACGTATTCGGTCACGTAGCTGCCGCCCAGTTCGCCCCAGAAAGGCAGCCTCCACAAACATCAAGAGGCAGCACGATAAAGAACAGTAATAGTAAAAATAGTCCTAGCTGGTATGGCCCCCGGCCCCTATGCCAGGCAGCAGGCCAGCTCCTTCCTCTGGAATCCTGGTGGTTACTGGTAAAATTAGGAGCAGCGTCACTGTCTTCTTTGCTACTGCCACAAAGACTTAGACCGAGAGGGGTTACATCAGACAAGCTCAAGATCACCCCAGCTGTAGCAGGCAGAAGTTACAGCTGCTCCTCAAACAGCTGCTTGGTTTTGCTTTCAGAATCCCTTATCTGACGTTTCTAGGTTTAAATCAAGGAAAGCATTAGCTAAAGATTCTGACAAACTCCAAGAAATACTTCATGGGCCCTGAGCAATGACTCAGTGGCTAAATCCTCGCCTTGCACACATTGGGATCCCATTCGGGCACTACTTTGTGTCCCAGCTGCTCCATTTCCCATCCAGCTCCCTGCTTGTGACCTGGAAAAGCAGGAAAGGATGGCCCAAAGCCTTGGGAACCTGCACCTGCATGGGAGAACCAGAAGAAACTCCTGGCTCCTGACTTTGGATAGGATCAGCTCTGGCCATTGCAACCACTTGGGAGTGAATCAGTGGATGGAAGATCTTTCTTTCTGTCTCTCCTTCACTCTATATATCTGCCTTTCCAACATAAATAAAATAAACAAAAATATTTAAAAAAAAAAAAAAAAAAGACACCTGCGAGAGAGTTGCTGGATTCATGAGCCCCGGGGATAGGGGATCCGGGGGTCGGGGTGCTTGGCCCAGGTCCCTGTGCTTGTCTGCACAGTGAGTGACAGGCTCATGAGCCCCAAGGGGCTGGGGATCTGGCGGGGTTCTGGTCACCTGGCCTGGGTCCTTGAGCCCACCTGCTGGAATACGTCTCTCCTGAAGACTCCTGAGCAACCAGCAAGGTAACATACAATGACACATAAGAGTCTCCCTTTTTTTGAAAGTATGAATTTTTTTAAAATTTGTATTTACAATTCATTAATGGGACCAGCGCTGTGGCGTTGAGCTGCTACCTACAGTGCCATCATCGCATCTGGGCTCCGGTTTGAGCCCCAGCTGCTCCACTTCCCACCCAGCTGCCTGCTGACACAGAAGCAGAGGACTCAGGTGCTTGGGCTCCTGCATCCACATGGGAGATCCAAAAAGAAGCTCCTGGCTACAAGCTCTGGATCAGCACTGCTCAGGCCATTGTGACCATCTGGGGGGTGAACCAGTACATGAAAGATGCCTGTCTCTCCTTCTCTCTCTCTGAAACTCTGCTTTTCAGATATTACTTATTTAAAGATTTATTTTTATTTTTTATTGGAAAGTCAGATTTACAGAGAGGAGAAAGATCTTTAATCTTTACTCCCCAAGTGGCCGCAATGGCTGGGGCTGAGCCGATCTGAAGCCAGGAGCCAGGAGCTTCTTCTGGGTCTCCCACATGAGCAGAAAACCAGGCCACCTGGGCACAGGGTCCCAAGACTTTGGCCCATCCTCCATTGCTTTTCTAGGCCACAACAGGAAGCTGGATGGTAAGTAGAGCAACCATGACACAAACTGGCATCCCTATGGGATACCAGAGCATGCAAAGCAAGGGCTCCAGCCACTAGGCTACGACACTGGACCCCTCTGCTTTTTCAAAGAAATCTTTATAAAAAAGGAATACGTGCTTAGTGAATTTATAGTTGGATAAATCTAGGCACTGAAGAACAAGGCAAGTGATTGAGCAGGAAATTGGGTGAGTTGGTGTCAGGCAATACCTGGTACAGGTGGGCACCCGGCAGTCCTGACAGAACCTGCTATCACCATGCTTGCCTTCCAAGGCCTCCAGAGCTCCCTGGGCCCACCTGTGTCCCTAAGGTCTGCCTGTCATGTTCAGGACCCAGGAGGCACAGCCGTACCCATGGCCACCAGGGCCTCCTCCTCCCGTCGCCACGCAGCCCCGTGCACACACCTGACCCCCCCCACTGCCAGCAACAGGCACGGCCGACCGGGTCCACAGAAAAGGGCTCATCTAGCATACACTGAGTCGTGAGCCCAGGCTGTCCTCCTCCAAGACACCCCCTCTGCGAGCAAGGGCTGAAGTGACAGTGACTGTTCTCGATTATTCCAAGAAGGCAGCAGCTCGCTCAGCCCTCCGAGAGCTGGCCGTTTGGTCCTCCGTGCGGAAGAGCACTCTCTCTCGGCTTTCAGCGCGAAGTTACCCAAAGAGAACCGCTGGGGGGCTGAGGGAGATTCAATTAAGGCGGGCCCAGCAGCGCCCAGACCGTGCCACCCCACCCAGGTGGCCTGGTTTTCTGCTCATTATTTAGCCAGAAACCTTAATGACGAACAGCATTTGTGTCACTGTCTCCCCCAAATTTAATTTGTTTATGCAGCAGTTCAGTTAATCCTGCAATCTGGTTGTGTCTGACGAGGACAGGGAGTGGGGACACCGTTTTCTCACAAGTCTTCAGGCTTTTAAAGCCTGATAAAAATCAGGATTCTTCCCTGGGTCTTGCCCCAGCTCTGAATTAAAGCACTTTAAATGTAATTAGGGAACCTGGCCTGACATCAGGAACATCCATTTAAGACATTGATTGACCAAGCTGTTCCACAAGGCATTTTATGAGCAAACGATTGCACTGGGGCCAGAACTGTTATTTATAAAGGCAAAAAAAAAAAAGCAGGTAAAATACTTTATTAATGGTAATGAGCAGGCCACCAGCTCACCGACTCTGTCCCCTTGCCTCGCCAGCTACTTCACGGAGTCGTGGTGCATGGCCCTCTTCCACGACCGCTTTATTGATCTCCGGAAAGAGCTCCGTCAGATCATCGCCTCCAAGAAGGTACGTGCGATGGATGGACGTGAGGTTTGTTCCTTGCAAATTACAAGCAGCTGAAAGCTGTTGGTCATTTGGGCTCCCCTCTGCATTCTCGTTTTCTGGCTTGGCTGCTGCTGCTGCTGCCTTTTAAACAGTTGAGAGAGAGAGAGAGAGAGATATCTTCCATCTGCTGGTTCACTCCCCCAAATGACCACAATTGGTGGACCTGGACTAGTCTGAAGCCAGGAGCCAGGAGCTTCTTCCCTGTCTCCCACTTGGATTCATGGACCCAAGCATTTGGACCATCTTCTATGTTCTGATGCACATTAGCAGGGAGCTGGATCAGAAGGGGAGCAGCTGGGACTTGAACCAGAGCCCATATGAGATGCCAGTGCCGCAGGGAGAGGTTTAACACACTATGCCACAACTCTGATTCCACGGCTTTACTTGTTAAGCTAACTATACACTACAAAGAAACCGCCGCACATGCAAGCCTCTGTGGGTGATGTATCAGGGCAAGTTATTTTGTGTAATTCTTTGACGGGGCAAAGGGAGCAAGTTTCTTTTTTCCTCTTGATAACTGTCTTGTCACGAGCAGCTAACAGTGCTGCCTATAAGCTGGCTATGAGTTACTCACCCTTAAAAGGAAAGTTGCATTCCTTTAGTTTCTTTGTCAGTTGTTGGAACATTGATGTATGTTCACACGTGTACATGTGTTGTCTTAAAGATGTAAGGGGAAGACACTCAAATGTTGAAACCCACTTCTACTAAAAGAAAAAGACTACGAACACCAGCTGTTGCCATTATGTAGCAAGCTAATCTTCCTGTTGCACCAGCATCCCACAAGGGTGCCAGTTGTGCTGCTCCACTTCCCACCCAGTTTCCCTCTTATGGCCTAGGAAAGCAGCAGAGGATGGCCCAGAGCCTCGGACCCCTGTACCCGTATGGGAGACCTGGAGGAGGCTCCTGGCTTTGGATCAGCTCAGCTCCGGCGTTGCAGCCCTGTGTGGAGTGAACCGGCAGAATGGGAAGATCTTTCTCTCTGCCTGTAAAGTTTTAAATGAAATTGTTTCTTGACATCCTGTAGTCTGTCGCAGAGCTTGGAAGGGTAACATCTGTGTTCAGAGAGCCAGCTTGGACTCTCACCTTCCCTCCTGCCGGGGTCCCAGGGAGTCTCCGCTGTCTAAATGGACAGTGCTTGCATCTCCACTGCCACTTGCACTTGGCAGGCTGGCTCACTCCCCAAATGCCAGAGGGTTGCAACCGTGACCCAGGAGCTAAATCTAGCTCAACCTCTGGGAAGGCAGGAGCCCCCATCTCTTGAGCCATCCTCACTGCCCCCCAGGGTCTGCCCTAGTAGTACACAATAGTTCAGGATTTGGGAAGAGGAATAACTCCTAGGGACTCTGATGAGGGAACTGCCAGGCCACACATGTGCACGCCTGAAGCTTAGGGACTATAATCGTGCCATGAATTACACAGTTCATCTGTCAGTGGAAGTGAGAGAGTCACATCAGGAGGGAGCTGGATCCCAAGTAGAGTAGCCAGGGCTTGAACCGGCGCCTCCATGGGAGGCAGATTGCTGTGTCACACACCTACCCCTAATCATTTATTTTAAAACATCACAGGGCCCAGCGTGGTGGCGCAAGTGGTTAAGGTCCTCGCCTTGCATGCCCGGGATCCCATATGGGCGCCAGTTCTAATCCCGGCAGCCCCGCTTCCCTTCCAGCTCCCTGCTTGTGGCCTGGGAAAGCAGTCGAGGACAGCCCAAAGCTTTGGGACCCTGCACCCGCGTGGGAGACCCGGAAGAGGCTCCTGGCTTCGGATCGGCATAGCATCGACCATTGCTCACTTGGGGAGTGAATCATCGGACGGAAGATCTTCCTCTCTGTCTCTCCTCTCTGTATATCTGCCTTTCCAATGAAAATATAATAAAAATAAATCTTTAAAAAAAAAAACATCACAGTGGGAGCCCGGTTGCTCCACTTCCCATCCAGCTCCCTACTTTTCACCTGGGAAAGCAACAGAGGATGGTCCAAGTGCTTGAGCTCCTGCACCCTTGTGGGAGACCCTGATGAGTCTCCAGCTCCTGTCCTGAGCCTGACCTAGGCCTGGCTTTTGCAGCCATTTGGAGAGAACTAGTGGATGGAAGAGCCCTCTCCCCGTCTTTCCTCACCCCGTCCCATCTTCAACTCTGCCTTTCAGGCAAATAAAATAAATCTTAAAAGAATTTTTTTTAAAAAAACTTCATTACAAGACATCCAAAACCATGTGGGCATACAGAGAGGAGCAGATGATGCAGCCCCTGGTGCTGGGCGGCAGGTGAGGATGCAGTTGGGGGTTCTGCATGGTGTCCCCCAGAGTGCTTTAGAAAGGACAGGGCACCCACAAACCTGCGTACCTGCCCACAGAAAGCCACAGCCCATGAGAGGGAGAGAGATTCACTTTGTAGGTGGCCACAATGGTCAGGATGGAGCCAGGCCAAAGCAAGGAGCCAGGAGCTTCTTCTGATTCGGTCATCTTCCACTGCTTTCCCAGGCACGTTAGCAGGAAATGGGATTAGAAGTAGAGTAGCCAGGACTTTAACAAGCACCTACATGGAATGCCATCTTTGCAGGAATTGGCTTTAATTGTCATGCCACAACTCAGATCTACCAACAGTTTGTTTAAGGCTGTAAACATCCTATCTCTTAGGGACTGTAACCAAGTAAAGTGGACCACCCAGGAGTTTGCAAGTACTAACATTTGATCGAGGTCATGCTTGTTTTGGAAACCTACAGAGAGATTTTTTTTGTCTGGAACAGTCAGGGTTTTAAACGACCATCACTGGTGAGCTTTGAAGTGCAGGCAGCACATTAAGTGACACGAACCAGTCACACACAGACAGAGTCTGCCTGATTCCGCTCATCGACCCCACATGATCAGATCCATCAGGATAGGAAGCGGAGAGACAGTTGCTGGGGGAGGCTGGGACAGGGAGGAACAAGGAGGGCAAAGAGCCTGATCTGCAGGGGATGAGAAGAAACCCAGCACATGGAGTGGGGTGTAATGGCCATACCAGGGTGTAAGGGTATACTGTCAGGTCCCTGCTGTTAGCGCACACCTTAACAGTTCTGAAAACCACCAAGTTTGGGGCTAGCACAGTGGTTTGCTACACCTGCAACCACTGGCACCCTCCATGCGTACCAGTTTAGTGTCCTGGCCTGCTCCACTTTCCATTCAGCTCCCTGCTAATGTTCCTGGGAAAGCAGTGGATCATAGCCCAGTGCTTGGGCCAGTGCACCCTCGTGGGATACCCGGAAGAAGCATGTGGATTCTCACCTCCCCCATCCCAACCACGAGACCATTTGGGGGAGTGGAGGATGGCAGATCTCTCTAACTTAAAAAAAAATGGGGGGGGGGAGAAGTTTACCTTATATTGTACCTGGCCATAATGTATACAAATCTAGTATATATGTATACACACATGCACATACTCACACCTGGGGAGGGGCACCATTGCCCTCCCTCCTCCCTGGGCCGCTCCCCAGGCACATACCTACACCCTCCCTGGGGGCACCTAGCCTGCCTACCTCAATGGAGCCCTTCCCCGTTACCTTCCAGGAAGAAGCGCTTCCCTCCCTGGAGGAGCTGGCCAGGCAGATTGAGGACGAGGAGCTGGAGCTGAGCGAGAAGCCGCAGCAGTACCTCCAGAGGGTCTTCGAGGACAGCATCTACAAGCCCCTGGTGGAAAGGAGCATCCTGGACTACCTGCACTACAACTACTACCACCTGCCCATGTACGCTTGGCCAGGCGTGGTGTAGCTGCTGGCCCCGGGCTCTGCACCCTCGGGGCCCACAGTTCCCTGTCGGTCCCAGCAGGTGGCGCACGTGTGTCCGGGCGTCCCGGTCCCTGGCACCGGGGACATCTCAGCCACCAAATGAGATCATCTCCACCGCGCCCCAAGGAAACTTTGGTGGGGTTGTTGTTGTTCAAACCCTGGGCGTGATTCTGTTTGATTTCCTGGAGTGCGTTCTGCCGCCAGTTTTGTTCTTGCTACACGTGTTTACCCAGTAGAACTCAGGAGTGATTAAAAAAAAAAAGTCATATGCCCAGAGAATGGAAGATCGGTAAATAGAGGATGAGAAATTAGATCTGTGGCACAGCAGCAGAGTTGACTGTGGTGGGAAAAAAAAAAAAAAACAACTTCAGCCTCCTGTCCCAGACCTTCGGTGGAAAGGCACCGAAAACTCTGGAAGCTGCAGGTCTGAGGTGACTAAGCCGCGGTGAGGTGCCAGGAACCAGGGCTGCTGCTTGCAAAGACAGCCAGTTCACTGCCCTGTGGGGAATGCGTCGGTTCCAGAACCTGTAGGAATACCTTCAGCCCTCCCCACCACCCCCCAGCACACACACACACACAGCCAGCTACCTGGGGCTCTTTCGTTAGATCCTGTCACATCAGTTTCCCTCTGACCAGGATCGGTTTTTCATGAACACAATTTCAGTTTCTGATCCACTTTTTTTTTTTTCTTGGTTGGCTGTAAGGTGGCTTGATTGTTGTTGTTGAAGCCACAAAGTCGCTCTATAGACCTGTATGTAGATATATATATGAGGGTTCCAGAAAGCTGGTCTCTGAGGCAGCAGGCAAGAATAGGCAGTGAAGGCCGCTAATTCCTTCACATGTATGGTTCGCACAGACGCGTGGGGGCATTTAGGGGGAGAGCCCGGCCAGGGCCATATGGTGCAGACTGTGTAGTCAGAATGGGAGAACAATCGTTCCTGGGCCACGCCTTGGGATTTGGCCCCCAACACACACACACACACACACACACACACACACACACACACACACACCCCTCTCTCAGACACACACATGAGGAGCGCAACGCCTGGCAGGCATAGCTCCCCACCTCGCATCTTTCCAAGAGAGTATGTGTCCCCCCCCCACCCCCACCAAATGCATCCACAAACAGAGCCAACGCCCAGGTCCCCAGGCCTGGGATCCTGGCGTGGAGACAACAAACAGCCACAGTGGGGGTGCTTCTGTGACCCACAAAAATCCCAGGCATGTGAAAGTGACCCTCTCCAGCCTACACAGTGCTGGGAGGGGGGACTCCTGCAGCCCTTATCCCCCACACAGCCAGAGGGTCGCCTCCGGACTCCAAGACCACTGGGCACCCAGGCTTTGTCACTCAGCAACTTGTAGCATTTCAGGGTCCCGAGTGCAGGCGCCCTAAGAGTCGGTGGGCTAGTGGGGTCCAGCTACCAGAGGGTCCTTTTAAGGACTTGGGGTGGTGGTTCAGTGGATGAGAAGGGGGGATGGGGAAGACCTGACCTGACTGTGGGAGAGACTGAGGGGTGGGCACCATCTCCAGCTCTCCGCGTCCTCTCTGGGAATTCTGTCCTCCTAACCCCACAAAATACTGACGAAACAACAACAAAACCCGGGAGTGAGTTTTACAAAGTTTTATTCTCCCCACCTCCACCTCCTCCAATCACAGGGGCCCACTCGATCTCGCCAAAGACCTCCGAGGGTCTCCTGGCTGATGTCTGTTGAGAAAACGGATTGTGTGGGAGGGGTGGGATGGCAAACCCGCCCTGACCCAAACGATGCTAAATGGCACGCAAGCATATCACAGGCAGGCAGGCAGGCGGGCAGGCCTGAAGGGGGTGGAGGGAAAGTCTAAGACGGGGAGAAAACACTGCTAGGTGGGCAGAAAGTAAAAGCCGTCTATCAATATTTACCCCCGGAAGGGGAAGGGGGAGCCGGCCCGGTGATGGAGTGTTAAGCCGAGTCCGAGCCACTCGGGGGCTGGAAAGTGGCGGCGCGCGAGGCGCTGTCCGATTGTTGGCCGGTGGGAGAAGCGGCGCTGATAAGGCCGGGTTGAAGCAAGCCGCGGCCGGGCGCGGAGCCGGGCAGCTGTATGCTAATGCGCAGCGAACCCAGCCTCCACGGCCCCCATTAAAGCAGGCGACCAGGAGGCCACACATCACTGAACAAATAGGCTCTCTCTAGACAAATAAAGTAACACACGTTGGCCTGCGGGGAGAGGGAGCGGAGGAGATCGGGCGGGGGCGGGGAGGGGGCGCGGGGAGAGACCGGAGGAGCGACGCTGGGACAGGTGTGGGAAGGAAGGAGGGGGGAGAGACCGAGGGAGGAAGGGCGAGAAAGGGGAAAGAAACCGGCTAGAAGACCTTGGGGGCCCGGGGCCGGGGTGCACAACACTACCCTTGTAACATCTCCAAACCCTGGGTTGAACCCAGAACACGGCAAAAGGTGTGCCCTTGGTGCCAATTCCCAGGAGCCTGGAGGCCTTGGCGTCCACTCGCGAGTGTGCAGGAGTGCCGGTGTGCCTGTGTATGCGGTGTGTTGCACCAGAGGGTTCTCTACAGAAAGACCACTTCCAGCCACGGTGCGGGGTGGGGAGTCTCGGGTTTGTGGGTAACCAGAGCTCTCAGGGCTAGAGGCCATGGCTCCCCACGCAGGTGGCCAGGCGATCCGTTTCTGAGCCCCAGATCTCAAAGCCATCCAAGGCGTCCTCGGCTGGCTTTCGTCATCTCCACCCTCCTGTCCCCGAGGTCCTCGCCAAAGCAGCCCCCCGCCCCCGCCTCATCCCTTCCCAGCCCAGAGGGTGCCATCCGAGGCAAACACATTTTTTAAAAATTAATTAATTAATTAAAAAAAAGACCCTAACAGCCCCAAGAGCCCTTCTAGCAGCCGAGAGCGCCGCGGCCCCGACGGCCAGCCTGCCCGCGGTACCCGGCCGCAGTCACCCGCGCTCAGCAGATTGCCGGGGGCTCTGAAAACTCGAGGGGAGGGAAACGCTCTAGCGCCGCGCGGGCGGACGGAGCAGCCTCGCACACTCGCCCCTTGTTCGTTCTCTTTCATGCACTCTCCTTTTGTGTGGAATTATTTAAACGGGAGGTCTGTGGCAGCTTTATGCTAATGTGCCGAACAAAGGCGACGGCTGGGGGCCCGGGGCCGGGCCGGGCCGGGCGGGGCGGCAGGCGGACTGCGCGTGTCTCTCGCGTGCCCCCGGGGCTGACACAACAACCCCTCATTCCTGCAAACACAAAGCCTCTCCCCAGGCTCGGGTCTGGCGCGCGGGATGTGCTGGGGCGACGGCCCCCTCCAGGGACTTGGCGGTGGCAAAGTGCGCCAGCCGCCTGCTCGCGGGGACCGAAGACCGCGCGTGGGTGCCACTCTGAAACTCAGAGGAGGGGTGTGCGTTAGAGTGGGGATGGGGAGAGCGGCGGGGGGCACGGATAGCTGCCACCTTGCGTCTATAAACCTTATTTCAACAGTGGGGTGGGATTTAGAATCTGAGGATTCAGGGGAAGCCTTGAACACGCCAAAGAGCCACCATTTCTCAAGTTGGGGGGTGGAGTCACGAAGAACCCGGGAGCTTGCCACGACTGTAACCGCGCAAGGCCGTCACGGAGAGCTTGGGGCGCCAGCGACCTCCGGCTCTGCAGCCGTCGGAGAAAGGCGGAGGAAAAGCAAAAAGCACCCCCAGCCCACTCCTCACTCCCAGCCACGAGTCTTGCCTAAGCGCTTAGCAATCAGCCGGTAGGAAAGGGTGGACCTCGTGGAGACTGGAGAGGACACCCGGTGCCCAGCTTTAATTCCTTCTACTGTGTCTGGAAGCCCCAACCCGACCGCGCTCTGCCCCTACTCGGAACCGCAGTGCCCCAAGGGCGGCTGCGGGAGTGCCAAGTGGAGATGCCTGGCTACTTCCAGAGGAAGACAAATGCCATGACTTGAAGGTTGCATCCTGCGGGGGCGCGGATTCTCTGAAACCAGAGGCGGTGGAGCTCCGAGGACGCCCACCTGCTGGGAGGTTGTCGGCGTGTATGCGCGCGCGTGCGAGCGAGCTAGCGTGGCTGGTCTTCGGCGGCTGAGTTACTAAGTTAGTTTCCAAGGCTTGTCCCTCTTCTCAAGTCTCCACTTATTTTGCATTGTACCTGTCTGAAAACAGATGTCCTTCCCGCAAACAAGCCTAGTCAGAAGAGACACCCAGACACGAGATAAGAAGCCAGTTCTATTGAACAGCATTCGGTAGATCCCCCTGGCGAAACCGAACACGCAGTTCTCTTGGACAGGGGTTTTATTTGGGGACTGTGGTGTTGTTTTGGTGAGTGGTCCAACCCTCTGTCTCCCACCCTCATTAAACCAATAGGTGTTCTAATAACTGAAGGCTTTCACAAGGTGGCTGTCTTTCTGTTAGCCTGTCAAAGCAGCGGCTACAGACGCCCCTTCAGAGCCCCCACACTCAGCTGGAGCGGGCAGGCTCAGCCTCTGGCATATTAGGCCACAATGCAGCTGGCACTCCGAGCGCAGAAGCTGTCTCTGCTCCGTGCAGCACGGGAACAACAGAGGCAAACAGACTGATGCAACAAGAAAGTCGCTGCAGGCCCTCCCAGTTTCCAGAGTTAGCCTCAGTGAGGGTCAGCATTTCAGAAACCCAAGTGACAACCCTCCCAAAGTGCCCCCGCGTGTTCTCTTTGCCGGGTGTGGGTTTTCTCTTGAATCCACAAGCATTAAAAATCACCAGGTGTCTTGCCCCTGGAGTAACCAACTCGATGAACTCCTTGAGAAGGTATCCCAGACAACTCTCTTCCTCCAAACTTCTCTCTCGCGGGCTTTTATTTTCACGCCAGGGTGTTTTTGTTGTTGTTGTTTGTTGTTTGTTTGTTTGTTTGTTTTCCAGAGGGAAAGGCCTAAACACTCAGTTGCCGTCAGAGGAATGAAAGCGGAAAAGAAAACCCCGCACACGCAATTTGAAGTGCCCAAAGCTCGGCAGAGTCTGGGTGACTGCCCTGGCCGGCCACGCCAGGCTCCGCTTGCCCGCGGGACACCTGACGTCGTGGCTTTGCGGCTCGTCCCCCGGCCACCGGCCCTCCGGGATCCCATCCCCACCCCTGGACACCCGCCTCTTTTGTGCCTCCACCGGGTCGGGGCGGGGCGGGGCGCTCGGCGGAGGCTGGCGGCTGGGAGGGGAGGGGAGTGGGGAGGGGGGTCCTCTCCGCCGTCGCCTGTCCCTGGTGGCGCGGGGGCGGCGGCTTGTCCTTGCGGAGGCTGCAGCCTGCCTCGGAGGACAGATTGCTCTCCCCCCACCTCCCCCCGGCAGGCAGCACGCGTCTCTTTGGCGTCCAGATTGGCCGCGACGCGCGCTCAATAGCACGAGGTTAATTTCCTTTACAAAGGTGAAGGGGCAAGGCTCCGGGGGTGGGGGTGCCTGCGCCCAGACAGGCGGCCCCTTTATTCCGCAGTGCCTTGATTGGAGCCCTTGATTTAGCATCTGATGTCAACCGGCAGACAAAATGCCCGCCCGGAATGAAAATGCATGAGGCCAACTTCACCAGGGCGCGCGAGGCGGAGCGCGCCTTTCCGGCTCTGTCCAACTGGCTTTGGATGAACGAAGCTCTAACCGCGACCGGGCCGGAGCGGGGACTGGGCTCCACCCCGCCCTCCGAGCACCCAGATTCACGGGGAACTTAGCATCGATAGATAGATGATAGATGGTAGATAGATAGATAGATAGAGTTGAAAAATACGAGTTCCCTCTGGAACCTTGCCCAGCTCGTCCCGCACCCCGCTCCAGCGATGGAGAAAGCATGTCAACTGTTGGTCAAACTCCGGAGATTTGCCCTGCCGGCCAGGTGGCCACTGTGTGCACACACGGCGCCCTCGGCTGCAGCGGCCAGCAAGCCCAGATCCCCGACCCACGCCCCGCAACTTGGGGGCTCCGGTTTTTTTTTCACGGAACCAGAGTTACTCGGACCACCCTGAGCCGGGCCTCGAGCCGTACGCACTTCTAGAGACTTCCTTCCCTGGCCCAGTTTCCCCATCAGCCTCCGTGCCGGCTCTCCAACCGTGCCCGCGCTGGCGATCACCCACCACCCCGCCCCCACCCACTCAGCGCGCACAACCCCCTGTCCCCGGCTCGCGCCTGGAACCCTCCTGACAGATTTGGGGCCATTCTTCTCCTTTGTTGCTATTTCGCTCGCGACCCGCGGGGTAATCCCACCCTCCTCCCCGAGAGCGCGGGAAGGGGGTGGGAAGGGGGGGACGCGCATTGTCGCGCTGATGGACGGGCCCATTTGGCGGCTCCGCGCTCCCCCGGAGGAGAGACACAAAGCCCAGGCACGTGCGGCTCGCCATAGAGGAGCAGCAGACCGTGAAGGGAGGCGGGGCAGGGCGTGTGCCTCGGCCGGGAGGGGCGCGCGGGGCGGGGGGGCCCGCGCCCTCAGGTACATCTGCCGCACCTAGCGGGCGACCCCCGAGTCCCGCCCACACACACCCCCCTTTTTTTTTTTTTTTTGCCGCTCCGGTGCCCTCCCAACCCTGCCCGGCGGAGGAGCTGCGGCCGCGCTGATTGGCTCCGGAGAAAGCGGGAGGCGAGAACAATGACCCCCTCCCCCCGTTAAAAAGGGAGCGGCGCCGGGAGCCGGGGACAGGGCCGCGCGTGCGGGGCACAGAGCCGGGCCGATCTGCTGCCGCCCGCACCACCGCGAGCGCCACGCGAGTTCCGCAGCCGCCGTGCCCGGGGCCATGGGCTGGCGACACTGAGCGCCACCGCGGCCGCCGGAGTCGAGCGCGGCGGTGCCACCGAATCCGTGCCGGGCCCTAGCGCCGCGCCAACATGCCCCGCGGCTTCCTGGTGAAGCGCAGCAAGAAGTCCACGCCCGTGTCCTACCGGGTCCGCGGCGGCGAGGACGGCGATCGCGCGCCGCTGCTCACGCCGGGCTGCGGGGGCGCCCGCGCCGAGCCCCCGGCGCCGAGCCCGGGTCCGGGGCCACTGCCGCCGCCCGCCGAGCGCGCCCATGCGGTGCTCGCCGCCGCGCTCGCCTGCGCGCCGGGCCCGCAGCCACCCCCGCGGGCCACACACTTCGGCAATCCCGAGGCCGCGCACCCTGCCCCGCTCTACAGCCCCACGCGGCCCGTGAGCCGCGAGCACGAGAAGCACAAGTACTTCGAGCGCAGCTTTAACCTCGGCTCGCCGGTGTCGGCCGAGTCCTTCCCTACGCCCGCCGCGCTGCTGGGAGGCGGAGGCGCCGGCGCCGGCGGTGGCAGTGGCGCGAACGGCGCGGGCGGTGGCGGCACCTGCGGCGGCGACGCACTGCTCTATGCGCCCGCCGAGCTCAAGATGGGCACGGCGTTCTCGGCCGGCGCCGAGGCGGCTCGCGGCCCAGGGCCCGGACCCCCGCTGCCCCCTGCCGCCGCCCTCCGGCCACCGGGCAAGCGGCCCGGGCCCCCCTCCTCCGCCGCCGCCGCCACCGCGGCGGAGCCCCCAGCCAAGGTAGCCAAGGCCCCCAACGCCAAGAAACCCAAGGCCATCCGCAAGCTGCACTTCGAGGACGAGGTGACCACGTCGCCAGTGTTGGGGCTCAAGATCAAGGAGGGCCCGGTGGAGGCGCCGCGGGGTCGCGCGGGGGGTGCAGCGCGGCCCCTGGGGGAGTTCATCTGCCAGCTGTGCAAGGAGGAGTACGCTGACCCGTTCGCGCTGGCGCAGCATAAGTGCTCGCGCATCGTGCGCGTGGAGTATCGCTGCCCCGAGTGTGCCAAGGTCTTCAGCTGCCCCGCCAATCTGGCTTCGCACCGCCGCTGGCACAAGCCGAGGCCGGCGCCCGCCGCCGCTGCCGCCCGCGCTCCGGAGCCCGAGGCCGCTGCCAGGGCGGAGGCGAGGGAGACACCGGGCGGCGGTGGTAGCGACCGGGACACGCCGAGCCCCGGGGGCGTATCCGAATCGGGCTCGGAGGACGGGCTCTATGAGTGCCACCACTGCGCCAAGAAGTTCCGCCGCCAGGCCTATCTGCGCAAGCACCTGCTGGCCCACCATCAGGCGCTGCAGGCCAAGGGCCCGTCGCCGGCGCCCCCGACCGAGGACCTAAAGGCCCTGTATCCAGGGCCCGAAGAGAAGGCGGCACCCCAGGAGGCGCCCGGCGACGGCGAGGCGGCCGGCGTGCTGAGCCTGGCTGCGTCCGCCGCCGAGTGCCATCTGTGCCCGGTATGTGGGGAGACGTTCCCCAGCAAGGGCGCCCAGGAGCGCCACCTGCGCCTGCTGCACGCCGCCCAGGTGTTCCCTTGCAAATACTGCCCCGCCACCTTCTACAGCTCGCCGGGCCTCACGCGGCACATCAACAAGTGCCACCCGTCCGAGAACAGACAGGTCATCCTCCTGCAGGTGCCCGTGCGTCCGGCCTGCTAGAGTGCACCCTGGGGCCACCCACCCCTCTCTCCCCGGCGCCCCAAACTGTGCCTTTCGCTTCGGAGACCCGCAGAGAGCGGCGCACTCGCGCCCCGCACGCCGCGGCTCCGCTCGCTCCTCTGGCCGCGGCGTGACGGTAACCAGCCACCCCCTACCCCCATCCTGTCGTCGTGACTCCTTCTCGCGTTGAGTTCTCCCCTACCCTCCCAACCCCCAACCTTTCCCCCACCCCGCGCGGCGGCGCCGCGGGAGTCGTGGTCTTCTCTTTGCGAGAAAGAAAACAAACGCGAGTTCTTTTCGTGGTTGGGAGCTGTCCCCTACCCCGGCCCCCCCCCCCGGAAGGGGAGAAGCTGTTTCTGAATTTCGGCTTCCTCCCCCCAACACCCCCTACCCCGCCTTTTTCCTCTTGCTCGCGTTCGCCGTGTCCATCCTTGGCCTAGACCTGCGGTCTGCTCGCGCCTCTCTCTCTCCCTCTCTCTGTATGTAGCGTACGGGTTGTTTTGGGTGGCTCCTAAGCAATCGATATCAATGCCTTTATATCCACGGGCTGTGAACCGAACTGCCCCCTCACCCCCACCACGATTAGCTTTATGATGGCTTGTGGAGTGCCGGAGTCTGGCTTTACCTTTGTCTTGTATGTAAACAAATCAAATCGCTGAAAACAAAACAAAAAAAAAAAGAGTTTTGTTTTGTTTTGTTTTAGTATAGCCACAAATGCCTTGAACTGTTGTCTGGGATTTTTTTTTTGGCGGGGGGTGGGGGAGGCTTGGGGAGGGGAAGGGAGTTTTTCAAGTCGCTGTAGTAACTGCCTCAGTATTTCGCGAGTCACTTCTGATTTCTTTTGGGCTCTAATATCTTTGTTGGGGGGGTGGGACTTCATACGTGTTCCCTCTACATGTATATGTTGATTTATGAAGAATTGTTATTTATTCTTTATTTATTTATATTAATTATGGAGATGATATTATTTTTTGATTGCAGATGGCTGTGTTTATTTGGGTTTTTCGGGTGCGTTTCCCCCCCCCCCGCCTTTGCCTCACTTTGACGTTTCACTGTGCATTTTAAGAGAGCCTTCTTCTTCCTGCCCCTCCTTTTTTTTTTTCCCCCTGAAGGGATCTGTGAAAAGTTTTAACTTTTATATGTTGTCGGAGTAAATTACAGACAACCCTGTACCATTGTAAATCCTGCTTGCCGAGGTCCGTCCATTTGGGGACCTAAGGATGACCCGCAGCTCTTACTTTTAAATGCAATCTCTTTTCTACATACATTATTTTCTTAATTGTTAGCTATTTATAGAAAGCTTCGATAGTACTGTTTCAACTGTATAATGATTTACTATTCAAATAAAATATTTTCAAGGTCATGGTGTGGTGGGCTTTATTTCTGCATCCCGCGATCACGTCCTCCGACAGGCTGTCTTTGTTTTTAAGAGCAAGTAACCTACACCATCTGGCCACAGCCCGCCGTGGCCCCAGGAACAACCCAAGGAAACCAAGGGCCCTTTCAGAGAAGTTCTGGAAGACAGGGCTTAGGATGAAGGCCACAAACAGATGTGGCTCCCGGAACCTGCCCCCTTCCACTTGGGGGCTGTTAGGAGGCCCTCTTAGATTTAGCACAGCCTGCCTTTCCCACCAAGCTGGGCCTCCTTGTACATCCAACACTCACACGCTGAGACAGGTCTTCCTGTCACCCCCGGTTCCAGACAAGCAGATCCTCCTAGAAAAAAAAAATAGTAGAAATTATTTTATGATCAGACTCTCCACCACCACTCCCCAAAAAGGTGTGTGTTAGGGGAGCAAAGCAGTTCCCATTGGGGTACCACGGGAGTTAAGCAACTGGGTTTGAGGTAAGCAGTTCTGAAATTATTTCTAGCTAGGGGAGCGACCCGATTTGGGGGATATTGAATGCCATCTGTTTGGGGCATTAAATGTAATAGCCAGTAATTAGAATATTTTCCATGATGTGTCATTTCTGCAAAGGAAATTCCCGATATTCAGCCGTGGACCGCTTTTTCTCCCTCAGCGTGTTTCTGATCCCGCGCCCCCCCCCCCCGACAGAAGTAGCCAGATCCAATCCTAGGGTGGTCAGCGGGATGTTAGAATTGTACCCAGTAACATTTTCAAAGAAGGCTGGGGGCAGGGGTGGGGCAGGCTGACAGTGATGCATATTAGCATCTTAGCATATTAGCAGGTTGCGCACCTAAGTTCGTCATGACCCAGGGTTGGCTCAGGGACAATTCCCTGGAACTCGGAACTCCTATGCTTTAGGAAGCAAACAGAACTGACGCTGGAAGACGCACCGTGGACCACGGGCAGGTTAGATCACATCCACTTCCCCCAGGGCAGATTAGGCACCGAGCAGCCAGGACTCTTAAAAGCAAAGAGGACAGCAGCATTAGTGACACCCTGCAAACTTGGGAGGTGAGCTGATAGTCGCTCCTTCCCGTTTCCAGCAACCTTGGCTCAGAGCTTTAGAAATATTCTTTGTGCGTTTTAGAGTGTTTTCCAAGAGCCGGGAAACTCAGGATCAGTGGATGCATGTTTTATGGCAATAAAGTTTTCTTAAAAAAAAGAAAAAAAACTCATCAGACTGGCCACACAGCTGCACCCAGATCTGTTCTTCGGGGTCAGGTTCTGTCTAATCGTAATCTAGCCTTGGTGTTTGCCTTCATAAAGCACGAATTCCCCCAAAGTTCCACCTTTCTTTCAGAAATTGAATATCCTTTGGTTGGGCACACAAATAGATTCCCTCGCTCCTTATCTGCGGTGACATTCATTTCAATGGACCGAATATGTCCGTTCTAAAACAGGAACCAAGATCTCATTTGTGTGAGAGAGCAAATGAAACGAGTGTGTGGAAGTGGACTTAAAGATGGCAGAGCGGAAAAGGAGAAACTTAGCCAATTCATTTCCAAAGTCATGCAATATGAGTTAGTGGAATATTTCACAGGAAGCAAATCAGGTTACCTCTTTAATGCCTCCCTAGATAGCAAGTGCTCAGAGTAGAGCACCAAGTGGAAATGCGTGCCCATCACAGAGCAGCAGCGGCTGTTGAGGTCGCCCCAGGTGGGGGAGGCGCTCCCAGCGGCAGGGGCCAAGTGGTGAGGCTGCTGGGTGTTAGCCAAGGCCCCATGGCCTCCAGGAGGGAGGCATTTATGGACCAAAGGAAGCTGATTTTCAGCAGGCACTGTCTCTTCAGATCTCTCCTCTGTGTGGGAGAGGGAGAGGCGATGGTGCTCCTGGGCTCCAAAGCCAGCCCGCAGCTGCAAGACATGCAGGCTTCCTGCCTTGAGGGCTCCTGTCCTCCAGGGGGGAAGGCTTCCCGCCTGTTGCTGCTTTGGCTCCCCTCATCCTGCCCCCAGGGGAGATCTGAGGAAAGCAGGGCTCCATCATCCTCTGGAGCTGGAACATTGCTCAGTCGTGGGAACAGTGTGACCCAGGGGAATACAGCCCAGTCCTGTGCTGTGCTGGCATTTGTCCCTTCTGTGTGGCACCCTGAATGGGGGTGAGGAGAATGGATGGCACCATCCAGGTAACCTGGGGCCCATTGCTGGGTTTGATTTGCTCATGTGGGCTTACTGGGGTGCCCTGCAGAAACCTGGAGTGCTGGGTAAGAGTATAGGAGTTCTCAACTGCCTCCCATTTGGTATCCGTGCCATCCAGTACCCTCCTACTACCAGCGGGGTCCTTCCATCCACCTGGCTCTAGCTTGGAACGCTACAGCCGTGTATGTATCTTCATACAGAACAAGGCACCAGCGATTGCAACAATCTGAATGAGTTACCAGGAACTGTGCACATCAGCTGTCTCGCAGCAGCAGCAAAGGCTGGGCAAGCTTTCTGGTTTTGGTTGAGCCCCTTGGCCTCTGTCTTCTCTGTAACCCAGAGGCTTGCTCCGGAGAGAAGCTGGAGGGAAAGGATGCTTTGTCAGGAGTGCTGTGACACTCAGGAGTAGTTAAGTCACTGGCCGAAGGCAGGCTTGCTGGGAGCAAAGCTTGGCCTCTTTCTGCAGCCGCCAAGCATGTCTCTGCTTCTCTCTGGTAAGTAGGTCCTGCTGTAGGAAGTCAGATCACCCCGTGTCACTTGTTAGAGGACCAGTCTGCCTTAGTGTTTCAGTGGCCAAGGTAGTCAAACTTGCAATACTTCAGAGTCGAAGGAACAAGCTGTAGAACTTACATTTATTTCGCTAGTTATTTTTATGGATTATCTAAAAGGCAGAGTGGCAGAGAGTCTACTACTACTACTTTTCTCAGCACCTTAGCAGGAAGCTGGGTTGGAAGAAGAGCAGCTAGGATTGGGTGTTGCACTGTGGGTAATCTGCTGGCCCCAGCCTGTGGAATTCAGCGAAGGTCAAGGAAGCAACTGAGTTACATGGAGAAAGTTCATGCAGTGGCAAAGCACACCATTGCGAGAGCCAACCAAGAGTCACATGCCAGCATGTTGAGGCCATCAGAACCCCAAGGGGCACCAGACCCCTTGGGCACAGTGCGATGGCCTGAAGACACTTCAGATTCCAACCTCTTATTTTAAAGATTTATTTATTTTTATTGGAAAGGTAGATAGAAAGATAGACAGAGATCTTCCATCTGCTGGTTCATTTTCCAAATGACCACAACAGTCAGAAATGAACTAATCTGAAGCCAGAAACCAAGAGCTGGGTCTCCCACGTGGGTGCAGGGTCCCAAGGCTTTGGGCCTTCCTCTGCTGCTTTCCCAGGCCACAAGCAGGGCTGGACAGGAAATGAAGCAACTGGGCATATGAATCGGTGCTCACATGGGATGCCAGCACTTGCAGGTAGAGGATTAGCCAATTGAGCGATCACACCAGCAGGGATTTTTGTCCCAGGACCTACAAGCGTGTCCTCACCTGGTAGGGCTGTTGATTGACACTCAGTAGGGTGGGGTGCATTCTCTAAAGGGAGCTGGAGCTCCAGAGTTTGCTGTGCTCTGCTCCCTGCCTCCATGGCCAGGAATTCCCAGTGAGGTCAGGCACAGTGAGCCCA